TGTATGGTTCATATCTAAGTCTAAGGTTCATATCTAAAAGAGGAAGCATCAGATATAGGATAGCTTGTCCATTTCCTCCACCACAAAAGATGCTTAAAATACAAAGAATTCATAAGTACACATAAGACCCTTAAAACATGAAATAAAAATTCATCACACCTATACCTCCTAAGACATAAAGTCAACTTTGCAGGACTGCTGAACAGATATTTCACTTTTGTCTTGGGTATATAATAATAATAATACCTGAAATATATATGTTGTTGTTCATCCTTTTTTGATGAGGACCAGTGACATCAGAGGGTGACGTCTTAATGTTTGCGTGAATTGGATTTAAGTGAGGCAGTTTGTAGAAGTCATCAGAACTTATCTCTTCCTGAGACAAAAATCAGGACAACTGGTGATGGCCAGGGATGCAGTGGATGACCCTGGCAACTTTGATGTCTGACCAACCTCTAAGCACTCTATGGTACCTGCTTCATCACCTTCATGGACATTAGAAAAAATTGTTCTCATCCATCCATTCCATCTGGAGAAGTTTTTATATGCTTGAGGTAGATATCCCCAACTCACTGATGGGTTTGAGGCCTATTGGCTACCCTTAACCTGGTTTAGCCCATCTGCCAAAACAATGTGGCCCTCGAACATTCTATAGCTTGTTTGAGCTAGCTCATTATGAGTGAGGTCAGTCAATCAACATTTATTAAGTGCTAATGCTTAGCACAGGCACTGTACTAAGTGGTAGGAATCAAGCAAATCAAGGAATCAAGCAGAATGAAAGCTACTCCCTGCCCTCAAGGAACTTACAAAGGGAAGAATCAATCAAACAATAAACATTTATTAAGCCCCAGGTACTATGCTAAAGTCTGAGGATTAAAAAAAAAAGTAGCAAAAGACAGTCCTCACTTGCAAGTCACCTGCAATTTAATGAGAGAGACATGCAAACAAATGAGGGTTGGAAAAGGATCCCTACAGAAGATGAGATTTTAGCTGGGACTTAAAACAAGGCAAGGTGATCAGTAGGCAGAGTTGAAGAGAGATGGCAGAGAAAGGAAAGCTTTCTAAGCATGAAGGATAGCCAGAGAAAATGCATGGCGCTGAGAGACGCAGTGTCTTGTTTGTGGAATAGCCAAAAGGCCAGTGTCACCGTTTAAATGAGCATGTGTCTGGGAGTAAGATGTAAGAAGACTGGAAAAAAGTAGGAGGGAACTAGACTGAAGGGCTTTGAATGTCAAACAGCATTTCGTATTTACTCTGGAAACAACAAGTAATCACGTGTTTATTGAGTAGGGGGATGACAAGATTAGACCTGCTCTTTAGGAAAATTACTTTAATAGCTGAATAAAGGATAGATTGGAGTGCAGACATCTGAGGCAGGCAGACTCACCAGCAGGTGTGAGGTGATGAGGACTTATACTAGAGTGGGGATGGTGTCAGAGGAGAGAAAGAGGCATATTTGAGAGAAATGTTGCAAAAGTGAAATCAACAGACTTTGTTAACATATTGAATGGAGGATGAGAGATAATGAGGTGTCCAGGATGACTCCTAGGTTGAGGGCCTGAGGGACTCGGAGAGTGATGTTGCCTTCTATGGTAAGAAGGAAAGAGGGAAGAGAAGGGGAATGGCTTAAGGGAAAAAGATAGTGAGTTCCATTTTGGATATATGGAGTTTAAAAGGTCTACTGAACACCCAGTTTGAGCTGTCTGAAAGGCAGGTGGAAATGAGAGACTGAAATTCTGCCAAGAATTTAGTGCAGGATAGAAGCAAAGGGGCCTGGGGGACTGGAAATGATGGTAGACTGGGCAGGGAGACAGTACAGAAAATTTGGGAGTGAGTGAGGAGTGCAGCCTGGAAAAGAATGAAGACATGACTGGCCTCGATCTCCTAAAACTGGAAATTTGAGGATGAACTAGTCAATCCAGGACTGGAAGGTACTTTCAAAGCATTCATGAATTCCAGGGCTGGAGTATACTTGAATGAAGTAAGAAGAATGAAGAGGTTTCTGGAGTGTGGTAGAAAAAGTAAAGGAGAGAGTTAGAAGTGTACCTTGGGCAGAAATATAAACCTGTGACATAGAAATGAAAACTGTGATACAGAAGCCAAGAAATATAATGCATCAATGTCAAAGGTTCAGAGAGGTAAAAGTGACACTTTTTCTGGGCAGAGCACATCTGGAGTACTGGGTTCAACGCTGAGCAGTACATTTAAGAAGAGGGTAGGTGGTGTAGTGGATAGAGCTCTGGGCCAGAACTCAGGAAGATTCCTCTTCATGAATTCAAATCACTTTTAAGGTTTCCAAAGTGCTTTACATGTATTATTTGATTTAATCCTTACAACAATCCTGGGAGGCAAATATTATTATTATACTTATTTTACAGATAAGTAAACTGAGGCAGAGAGAGGTTAAGTGATTTATCTAGGGTCATACTGCTAGTAAGTATCTGAGGCTGGATTTGAACTCCGGTCTTCCTGATTCCAGGCCTACTCTTCTATCAACTATGGTACCTAGCCCCCTTATAAGAACATTTCAAATACAGGAGACTACCTATACAAAGGCATGATTTGAGGTAGGAAATGGAACATCACATATGGAAAACAACTAGCTGGCCAGTTTGACTGGAATGAAGAGTGTGTGATGGGAAATATTATGAAGGAAGACTGAGATTACAAAAAACAATAAAAGCCAGGCTCAGGATTTGTATTTTATTTTAAAGGGAATAGGAAACCACTGAAGATATTCTGTAGAGGTGTGAAACAGTTAGATTTGTCTTGTATTTGGTAGCTGTGTGGAGGATATATTGGAGATGAAGAGAACAGAGACAGAAAGGCTGTTCAGGAGGCTACTGTAAAGTCCAAGTGAGAGGTGTTGAGGGCCTGAATAGGGCCAAACAAAGTATCTCTCTCCTCCATCCAGCAATCTTCCCTATATATGTTAAAATTATTCAGGCACACCAGAGATAGCTTTGTTTGATGACCCTCTGATTGTTATCAAATAGGAAGACCTAAGCTTGCCTAAGGTATTTGCCACTGACATGAAAGATGTTCAGCACAGAATCCAAATGGAAGGATTCCTTACAGACCATGAGGTCCTCCAAGTGTTCCAGCTTGTGAACAATATTGTGCTTGACACAGAACTGAACTGGGAGAAAACAAACAAGCTGGATTGCCCTGGCAAAACTGTACAGTTTTTAAAAACAATTCCAAGCTTCTTTATTAAACAAACATCCATTTTTAACACCAATATTCTTCCAGTGACACAACCTGGCTACAAATCATGAATGCTATAGTCACTGCAGAATTAAAGTTGCAGGTCATCCAAAGGAAAATGGAGTGACAAGGGGTCAATCTGAATTGGCTGCAAAAGAATATCAATGAAGAACTAAGCACCAAAAGTAATGTAAAAGATGTCAAAGAGTTGTCCAGTCAGAATAGGAAATAGGGCAGTGACACAGAAAGGGGCAATAAACGGATATCCCACATGCTCCTCCCAGACTCCCAATTGTCAGAACACCTAGAAAAAGGTCCCCAGTGCTTTGGATGCAACTCCCCTTTCCTACAGAGGTTTATGAGAGGACCCGTCCTAGACAAAAGTCATGAAAGATGTAAATGGATGGTAATAATCTGTATCATTGGAGGGAATACTCAATTTAATCACAGAGACATCAAAGTATTGAAATCTCTGCCTTTATTCACCATTTGTCTGTTTAACATTACGAACTCCTTCGATGGACACTTACTTTATATGCAGCCAACAGCCTGCAGCACAGTAAGGACGGTTTTTAAAACCCAAATACTTGAATTGTCCTTGCTGCTCAGGGGAAATTTACAAGAGGTACTTTGCATTACTCTGACAGATGAAGTGTTTATTTCCAAATTAAGCTGGGTTGCAAGGAGGCATTGAGAAGTAGAACAGAAATGAAAAATTAGACTAGCACTTTCTAAGTAAGGTCTTACCAATGTGGTTTTTTCTTACCTCAAAATTTCAAATACCTAATCTGATCAGCATAGGTACTATCTCCACTGATACAGATTAAAGCTCCTTTATAACTTAGAAAATGGTCTTTGAAACCAATCACCTCAGTGTTTCCAAATGTTATTAGATTCACTCTCAGACAACCAACATCGAGGCCATGCTGGGGCTTATGTTCTCCCAGAAAAACCTGCAAAAACCCCAGGTTACCACCATTCCACCAAAAGACACTGGCTTAGTTTCTATGAAATGTGGTTTCATTTTTCTGGTGTATTTATTTATTTGTTTGAAAGGATTACCAAATCATTAGCATTAAATTTTAATTTAAGTATAAATACATGCTACAAAGTCAATTAAAATTTTTATATTAAACAACACTGTGTCTTGTCCACTTAGAAGCAGAGATGGATCAGTGATAGCAGGAGTGATTCTTTGAGTGTCCTCCATCAGTGCTGCAATAAAGAACTGACTCTACTACTACCTATACATCCCAATAGCTTACCTATTTTTTAAAGGATAGCACATTAAAGGCTTTGTCCTATAATTGAGTGTGCTTCAAAAATGATCAATTTGAGCTGATACCATAAGGGTAAGCTGGGTGACTATGGGCCAAAGACTTTGTGTCAAAGGCCTCAGGATAGCCATGAGATACCTTGGGGATGTTCTAGGGACTCCTAAAATTTTTGAAGTAAAAGTTTAGAGCCAAACGAATCATTTTAGTTTGGAGGGGCCACATAATGCCTATTTCTGGCCTGGGCTAACCTTAAAAGAATGGAGAAAATGAAAAATTCCAGGATTATTTGGGGATTTTGTACTCTTTTGGAAGGTTTTCAGGTTCCAGATTGAATTGGGTCTTCCAGACACATGTCAGAGAGAATTAGAAAATTAGCAAGCAGTCAAATGAATGATGGTAAAATGTATACAATTAACTTTCCTTTTTACTACAGCAGCACAAACCATTACTCACCATGAACAGGAGGGCAAGGCTCTAAGTCTAGTGATCCCTCCCTCTTCTTCACAATATCCTTACCTTGGGGAACTTGTACAAGGCCAACATTTAAACCAGCAAGCAAATCTCCAAGAAGCCAGTCCTTGAATCGGTACACACACATCCATTCTAGGAAGGGAAAGACGCCAAACATGACTTTTTTAAATCTTTTCCATGAGCACCTGTAAGGAATCAGAATAGCTTAGTTATATCTTCCAGAACTCAAAAGACACGTAGTCTTCCTCACCTTCCTATGTGTCACCTTCCCTTTCCTACCCATATTAGTTGTGTAGGTTATTCAAGAATTAGTCAATATTCATCCCAGCATGTAGAACAGATCTGTGTTCTATTTGATGCTAGAAACACTGTTCGAGAGCACTAATTTGATTAAACGGAAGCTTTAGAGCCTGTCACTAAGAGTCTGTTTGAGTGTTGTATAGGAAGAATAAAGCACTCAATCCTTTTACCCTCTTCCCCTGATGATGTTCGGGAGTCAAGAGAAAAGCTGTCCAATGGAGCAGCCTGGATTGTTGTCTCTGTCTATTGACAAGGAGACATAGATAAGGTACTACAATTTACTCTCAATGTGATCAACTAACATTTTTATCTGGCCCTTTACACATATACTTTATACTTTTATGGTTTATACTTTAACACTTTCTGGGGCATTTAGAATAAAATCATAAGTACTATGTCTTTGTCCTAGAACATAAAGAGAGTTGCAGAATATGGAGAGGTTACGGTTTCTTAGTTTGAGAAATTTGGAATATACAGGAAGACAAGAAGAGAATTAACACATAGAGTTTATATTTCATTACTTGTGCTATTAAAGGGGTGAAATGGCACAGATAAATAAAAAAAACCTTTCCATTCAGTTTCAGAGTACTCTTTGTTTATATTTTTTGGACTATGGCTCTAAAATTCTAGATTCCCAATACATCAAACAAAAAAACAAAGTCACAGTCAAGATGCAATTAGCTTCTTATACTCACTTTTCTATCCTTATTCTCTGGCTCAATATCTTCCTAATTCTCACATGATGCTAGCTAGGGAGGAGTGGCAGCTTTTGTTTTAGCTGACTTTTACCAATAAACTTGTCTTTTCCTTGAAGGTATAAAGATAATTATTAAATATTTTTGGGCTTTCCCCAAAGAAATTTGGAATTATGTTAACCAAAATGTCTATGCCCTTTGACCCAGAGATCCCTCTGATAGACAAAGAAAGTAAATGACAAAACAGAAAGGTTGCATATATACCAAAATATTTATAGAAACACTTTTTTGTTGTAGCAAAGAACAAGAAACAAAAGAGATGGCCATTGATTAGTAAATGGTTAAACAAGGTGAGATATATGAATGTAATGGAATTATTCTTACACTATCAGAAATTATGTCTATAATAAATTCAGAAAAGCATGGTTAAACTTCTATGAACTTATAGAGAGTAAAGTAAGCAGATCTAGGAAAACAATATATACAAATGATCACAAGGATGTAAATGGAAAGAATAATAGTGAAACAATAGAAACTAAGTCCTGTAAATTATAATGACCAAGGTTAGTCCCAAAGAAAATATATGAGAAGACTCCTTTCCTAGACTTTTTTGGCAAAGATGGAGGCCTACAGGCATGAAATACTGAATAAATGTCAAATTTTTTCAGTAAGTTAATTTTGCTAAACTTTTCCCTCTCCTTTCCATCCTTTGCTATGAGGGATGCCTCTCAAAGAGATACACTGGGAAATGTAGGTAATGGGGGGAAAAATAACAATAAAAATTAAAAAAAAAACAAAATCAAAATGCTTTCCTAATAGTAGAAGTACAAAAGTGGGGAAGAAAATGTCAAGTTTTTTCACTTTTTAGTTCCTGCTAAGCCAGAGGCTCCAAGCTATATATAGAGTAAGAGAGGAAGTGATAATGTCAATAAAGATTTTAAAAGCAAAGACATCAGGGGTTTTTCATGGAAAAGTTGTTGATGCATAACAAATTACTAGTGGTAATAATTAATAGAAACATAGGCAAATACAGGGATGAAGATATATGTTCAACAATTTTATCTAAAACCATTAAACTTTATTCAGTCTAACAGATGCTAGGCTGATAGAAACAGTCAATACACAGATGCTGGGCCAAGAGAGATTTTGATTCTGAGGTAGGAATAGAAGTGACTCTCCCTAATTATGGCATTATATGCATATAATGAGTGCTAGGATATTTTTACCTTCCCTTTTCCCTCTCCTGTTTGAGACAAATATAAAGCATTTCCACCCCAAAGTTATACATGGCAATGGGTTGTTCTGGTATTTAGAAGAGGTTGGAGAAAAGAAGAGAAAAGACTATGAAAGATAAGCAATAGCAATGGCTGAGGGAAGAGAGGGTCACTGGAGATTACTGCATCATCTTGCATCATAAAGGTGGCATCAAAAGTTTGAAGTACTATAGATAGTTACCTTCACACAGTTGGGAAACTGAGAAATTGGATGGCTATGCTACAGAGCCACAAGGAATGGCACAAAGATTGGGGGAAGAGGAGAGAGAAAGACATATATATAGAGAGAGAGAGAGACATAGAGAGAAAATTCAAAACACTGCTATGGGAAAGGGGGAAACAGATTCTTGTATAGGAAAGGAGTCTTAAAAGAATGAGAAAATCAGGCCCTTCAGTTTATGACAGAATTGCTGACACAAGGGTTACACACAGAAGAGGAGAGCTTAGGAGCTCAAGTTTTCACTTCTCCCCATATGCATTCTGCCTGTAGCACTAGTGCTTCTAGGCATAGCATAATATCAGTTGACATACAGTGGAGCAGTGAGGATGAACAAAAGTCTTGAGGCTCAGGGTTGGAGTCTGAGGAAAGGAGATATAGCAAGAGTAAGTAAACAGTATGGATATGAATGGCAGAAAAGACATGTGATGATAAATGAAAAGGTTTTTTTCACAAATGGAGTAAATATATGTTTGAAAACAAAAAGAAAAGAGCCAGTTGAGAAAAGGAGAGGCTGCCAATAAAGAAGGAAATGAGGGAGGAAATAAAAAAAAAGAGAGGAAGGTATTCAGTAGAATAGGTAAGAGTTTATGAGATAAAAGGGCAGTCTATTTTTTAAAAGGAGGAATTAAGAAAGGGCGGAAAAGTAAATAAGGAAAGGTGATTCAAATTTCAATTTCACAATAGGGAAAGGTGACAAGATTTTCAGTTTATGAGCAAATGATGACAGAGAAAGAAAAAGAAGTGAGAATTACAGCAAAGTCATAAGAAAAAACTGTTCATTTGTAGTAGACAAAATTAAGCATAGCACTAATTGTCTTATAGCCTCTGCCTTTTGACAGACACAAAGGATTAGAGAAAACATGGTGTGGTATAGGAGTGGGGGAAATGGTTGGGGACTATAAATCAGGGTAAACAAGGTGTGGGAAAAGGGAAAACAGCCCTAAGTGCAACTCTACTGGAGAGGGCATTAACGTGTTCATCTTCCTACCTGAGTGCTCACTCTTTGGCATCTAACACATTCTTTTAGAAGTTTGATACAATGGATAAAGGAGGGCCTGATAAGTCAGTGAAAGCAAAACTGAAAAGAACATAATGAGGTCAGTCTACATGAAGGTGAGGTTCCAGAAAAGCATGGACATAAGTAGAGTCAAGTAGTCAAATGTCATCATGTTTGATCTGGTTAGAGGGTGAAGATGAGAGACGGTAAGGAAGGAAGTTATTGTCTGAGCTGCTGATTGTCCAATGCCAGTATGAATGGAAGCACTGAAACATACTTCTCTGGAGGTTGGGATCAATTCAGCCTATGATGAAACCCTAAGCCAACCAACAAACTTATTTTTCTGCGTTTTGGCTGGAATTGTTGTTGTTGTTGTCCTTTGTTCTCAAAGAGGGCCGTGACATCAGGGAGGTGATGCCATAAACACGCAAGTGAATTGGATTTAAGTGAGAGAGCGCTGTGCAAAGTCACCAGCTTCACTTTTTCCTCTGGAGTCATCTGGGTTCAGTGGTAAGATATAGATTAGGACGACTGGAGATGGCCCCGATTTGGCTGGAGACAAAAATAACTGTAGCTAATCAATTAATCAGTAAGTATTTACTGAGAATTTGCTCTGGTAGAAATGATCATTGAGTTATACTGTCAGCAATGTTTGAAAGGGTATGGAGGGACAGGTATTGAAAGACTGGAGAAGGGCAAATGTCTCTGTTCTCAAAATAGGGAAGAAAATAGAATCTTGATACCAATTCCTGGAAAACTCTAGAATTTATTATTAAAAAGGTATAGAATATATGCTACTTGAAGGAAGGGCTGTCTTGTTTTTGTCTTTACATCCCAAACCCTCACACATGACTTGGAACACAATTGGTACTTAAAGAATGTTTGTTGAATTAAAATGGATAGTTAGTGAATATCTGGAAAAAGGAAGGTTGATCACAAAGATCCTGACTGGCTTCCTCAAGAACAGGCCATCCTCAATTAATTTTATTTCCTTTTCTGACAGTCACTGGACTGACTGAAGTAGGGAGTGCTACAAAGAGATTTTAGCAAAGCAGTTGACCAAGTGTTATGTTATCCCTGTGAAAAAAGATAGAAAGATGAAGGCAAAGCAATAGTACAATTATGGGGATTCAGAATTAAAGAATACTCATGAATGGTTTGATTTGAACTTGAAAGAGGTCTGCCATAAGGGTGCCCCAGAGTTCTATGTTTGGCCATGTGTTATTTAATATTTCTATCAATGAATTAAAGCTATAGATGGCACATTCCTTAAGTTAGCAGATGACACAAAGTTCAAAGAGATAGTTAACACAATGAATGGATGACAAAGTCAGAATGCAAAAAAGATTCTGACAGGCCAGAATATTGAGTCAAATATAAGAAGATGAAATTCAACAGGGATAAATGCAAAATCTTATACTTGGTTCAAAAATTTAGTTCCATAAATACATGGTACATGGCTAAATAGCAGTTTCATTGTCATGTGAAAGAAAGAGTAAATTTATTCTGCTTAGTTTCAGGAACTAGGATCAATGGGTTGCTAAGAGGCAAATTTAGAAATGATGAAAGGAAAATATTCCTAAAAATTAGAGCTATGCAAAAGTGGAATGGACAACATGAAGAGGTTATAGATTTTTTTTATGGGAGGTCAAAGATTAGATGATCACTCATTGATTATGTCATAATGAGAAGGATTCTTTGTTCAGGTATGGGTTGGACCAGATGGCCCCTGAGGGACCTTCCAATTCTAAGATACTGTGATTCTATTTGTCCATTACCATACAGGTGCTCTAGGTTACAGAGTAACTTCAAGGTTCCAAAGTAACTTTAAGCCATGATTCCTACAGAGTTTACTATCCAGCCGATGAGATAGATTTAGGACATATGAAATAACTAGATAACAAGTCCTAAATTGTACAGCGCTGGCTGCAATAAATACAGGTATTAGGGAAGGGAAGTATTAGAGTAGATTGCAGCAGTCAGGGAAGGCCTCATAGCTCCAGACTTGTTTAATAATAAGTAAGTAGTAACACACATACTCACCGGCATTGCACTCTGTGTTTAATTGTGGTGATATTGATATCTACATTTCCTGAAGAAGTTCCTTTCCTTCTATGCTCCCTTTGAAAAGTTTCTTCATTGTACACTTCTCTTTTCACATCATAGAAGAATTTGCTAGCCTTACGTTTTATATTGGAAGCCATTGTGCTTCTTTCTAGCCGTACCAATCCTGCTGAATACATACACAAGCAATTAAGCCCAATCAGCATATCCATTACACAGAATTAGAGACAAAGCTGAAAGGATTTTTTTAAACTGGTAAGAAATATCCCTCCACAAATATCTGTAGCATATATCTTCTCTCCATTCACACAACCACTACCCCAATTCAGATCTGCATCATCTTCTGCTGAACTAGTACAATGACCTCCTGAGCTCCCTATTTCCGTTCTTTCCCTTCTCCACACAGCTGCCAAAATAACCCTTCCAAGGTAGAGATTTAACAATGTCCACTTTCACAATCAGAAATATCATCAGATTCCTATTACCTCATAGATAAATTACTAACTCCTCAGTGGGGTATTTAAAGTTTTTTGCAATCTGGCTCCAAACCACCTTTCTAGATATTTCATATTATTCCCATTCTTCATTCACTCAGTCTTGCAGCTGAACTGGACTACCCAACTCAACATTCTACCTTCTTTCTCCATGCCTATGGAAAAATCTGTGTCTCATGCATAGAATGGACACTTTTCTCATTTCTACTTCTCATAATCCTTAGCTTCATTCAAGGTTCAGCTCTGGTAACACTTCCTGATCTCTGACCTTCCCTGTGTTTAGTACTCTCTCTACCTCCTCAAATTACCTAGCATTTATTTATCTATGTATATGCCATCTCTCCCCAGGAGAATGCAAACTCCTTTAGGGCAGGGACTATCTTTAGTTTTTTTGTCTTTGTATCCACGGTTCCATATTTAATAAATGTTTGTTGAGTTAAATTATGTATACTTTTCTAGCAAATTTAATTGACACAATTTCCTAATTATGTTAAGATCATCATAACACTTAATGCTTTAAGATTTTGCAAAGCTCTATCTATATTATTATCTCATTTAATCCTCACAACAACCCTGTGCTAAGTTATGTGCTAAGTTAAGTGACCTGCCCAGGGTCAGGTAGCTAGCAAGTATCTGAGGCAGGATTCTAACTCTGTCTTCCTGACTTCAAGTCTAACACTATCCATTATACCACCTATCTGCCTAGCTGCTCTTCCTCCACCTACTCCAGTACCTTGTTTCTAACAGTGACATTAAAGGATGCCAGGGAAGGGCATCCTTGATTTTGTTTCCCAGAACAACCTCTTCCCAGCCTCCTGCACCAGGTTCTTGCTTAGTAGTGCTTTCCCTCTGAGACTACTTCCTCTTTACACCTTACATAGTCTATGTAGATAGTTGTTTGCTTATTTTCACACCCATTAGAATATGAGTTCCTTGAAAGCATAATCATGTTTTTGCTTTTTTATTTATCCCTAATATACCGTACAATGCCTGGCACATGTTGTTGTTCAGTGTCTGACTCTTCTTGGCCCCATTTGGGGTTGTCTTGGCAAAGATGCTGGAGTGGTTTAACATTTCCTTCTCCAGCTCATTTTACAGATGAGGAACTGAAGCAAACAGAGTTAAGTGACTTGCCCAAGGTCACACAACTAGTAAGTGTCTGAGATTGGATTTGAACTCTGGGACTCTAGGCCCAGCATTCTATCCACTTTACCACCTAGTGGTCTTGTTGAGGATGAAGATGATGATGAATGTAATCCCAACAACACTGTAATTTCCCTGATCACACAATTATGTTCTATCTCCATGAATTTGTTTAAAGCATTTTTTAAAGTTACAGTGTTTATATTTTCAGCATCTCACCTTTTAGAGGTAATAAGTTTCATGCTGTTATTACCTATATAAAGCAGTGCTTCCTTTCATGAAGCCTAAACTTAATTATTTCAAGCTTCAGTGGCTGTTCTTTAGTTACAAGACACTAGGAGAACATGAAGAAGACTGTGTTTATCCTATTTATAGCCTTCATGATTAAAAAATTTCTACCATATTCACTCTCAGTTTTCATCTTTTCATACTGGAGTCTTCATTTTTAAAATCTCGATCTTACAAGAAACTCTTACTCCTTATATATTTTTGTGGATCTTCTCTAGAACTTCTATAGCTCCATCACATTTTTCTTGAGAGGTGGAGACTAGAACTGTTTGAGTTTTCCAGAGGATCCTATGAGTTTCTACAAGAGGAGGTAAATGTTTTAGATTTTGTTTCTAATATTCTTCCTGATGAGATATAATGGCCAGAATGATCTAGAAAAGTGGCAGCTGAGTTTCAAAGTGGGCAAGCAGAAGGTAATGAATGCAATCAGGAAATAAAATCCAAATGATACTTAAGGATGATGGGCTCTAAACTATAACTTAAGACCTAGGATCCTTATACTGTTCAGCAAAAGCTTGGGTTCCCTTGAAGCCAATGTGGTAAACAAAATATTGGGCATCATCCCAAATTGTTGGAATTGTTTTTGCTTTTTCTTTGTATACTCAGAATTAATCACAATCACTAGCACATGGTTAGTGTTTAAGAGGTGCTTGTTGATTGACCGATGATACTTTTAGAGGCAATGTGATATACTGTTACTGAAAAGTGCACTGGACTATGAATCAACATGAACCTGGGTTCGAATATCACTACAAAAGCAAACTAGCTGTGTGACCCTGGGCAATTCAAATATCTCAGGGAAAATAACTATCTCACAGGGTTTTATGAGGATCAAATGGGATGTTTGTCAAATGCTTTAAAAACCTTAAAGCATCATATAGGTGGCAGCTACTGTTTTCAGGGAAACCTGGATGGATGGATTATCCATTCTTATGTTTTTCCTTGCTCTGAAAATGTAGCAATTTTCATTTATTTATTTTTTATTTTTTTGGTGAGGCGACTGGGACTTGCCCAGGCTCACACAGCTAGTAAATCTGGGGCCAGATTTGAACTCGGGTCCTCCTGACTCCAGGGCTGGTGCTCTATCCACTGTGCCACCTAGCTGCCCCCAAATGTAGCAATTTTTAATAAATGCCACCAACTTCCACTGGTGGGAGGTTGTTTTAGTCCTTAAAGCCCATTCAGCCTAAGTTCTCAGTTGAATCATTCATCAAATAATAAATTTGTATACCTCTTGGCTGGTAAGTTCTAATTAAATAAATAAGCTCACTTTTTCCCGTTCACTGAGTGACATCTACTTTTGATCCTAGACAGCTAGAATGGATTTTTAACAACTTATAACCAATCTCCTTCCCAAATTCTCAATCTTTTCTCTCTCACCCTTTCATCACAATGTATATTCAGGGTACCTGAAGTCAAAAAGAAAAACTATTTAAGATACAAAAACAATTTTCATATTTAAAATACAAAGCAATTTTCTGATCTTTTTATTGCAGTAGATGTTAGGGAGGGTAGAAGTGAAACCATAGGATCATAGAAACAGAATTGGAAGGCACTGTTGACATCAAGTTCTACCCCCTCATTTTAGAGACTGAGGAAACAGGCACAAATAAGCTAAGTTAGTTGCCCAAGAACACACAGGCAGAGGTGGGATTTAAAATCAGGCTGTTGGACTCCCCCTGTAGCCTGGATCTTGTTCAGTTGCAAGAGTATCTTTTCCCTGACAGTTTTTCTTTCTCCTTCTGATGTCCTGTCTAGGCAGGAAAGGCAAGACAAAAGTGAAAGGATTTCTTAACCTGTACCTGTGAGTACAGCCATTACAAACCTGTGCTATATACTACATAGAAATTGTGTGGTAAATAGGTATTTATTAAATTCTAAAAACAAAAGAAAAGGGACATAACTCAAAAATATCAGATAGGATTAACTACACTCTTCTTGTGAGTTGGTGCGGTCTCTCAGAAGGACACCTTAAGTCTTTACTTATTTCATAAAAGAAAATCAAAATAGGAATATTAAACCTCAGAATACTACTGGAAGATATGCTTCCTTCAACATTCCCTCCACTTATAAATGCATAACTCAGCAAAGGCGGTACCTACACAGAAGGAAGGGAGAGACTGTCTTTCTTTTTGCTTTTACAAGTATCCCCTGGGGTGTAGGTTGTTCAGGGAAGACTAGCACCTCTGGTGTGAGGTCTGCTGAGCCCTTTTCAGGGCTGCTTTCCACCTTTGGTGTCCGTCTGATTCACTGATTCTCACCTGTGGTCCAAGAAGCTGTATCACGGCAATGGCCATACCCCCATAAACCTTTTCGGCAGTCCCGCTAAACCAGGTTGAGGATAATCAACGGGCTTCAAACCCATCAGTGAGTTGAGGGGCAGGGTATGTCTACCCCAAGCACGTGAAGACTTCCTCTGATATAATGGAAGGATAAGAACAATTTTTTTCCAATGGCCATAAAGTCAATTGAAGCAGGTGCTGTGGAGTGCTTAGAGCTCGGTTAGACATTGAAAACACCAAGGTTATCCACTGCATCCCAAACCATTGCCAGTCATCTTGACTTTTGTCTTGCCACTGGACTTTGATGACTCTGGAAGAGTGAGGCCGAGGACTTCAAGCAACTCTGACTCACTTAAATCCAATTTGTATGTCAGTCAAAAGACATCACCCATATTATTTTTACCATTTTTACTTACCTCAAAGTCCTGTGGTGACAGGCAAGTGATGAAGCAGCAGGTATGGATACACTGGGAGCTATAGTCACAAGCCTGCCCAGCCCAGGCCATGGGGTCATTGCCTCACTGGACTTACTCGGTAGTGGGATTTGGCACTGGGTACCTGAGCAGCCTTTTTTAAGGACCACATTGCTCACCTCCTGGCATGAGAAAGGGGCTAGAAAAGGTGCCCTAAAAATTTTCTGCTTCACCTAACCCTGGCCTGCTTGCCACTGCAGGCAGGGATCTCACCCTGTAGTCAAAACACAAAAAAACCACAAAAACTTTTGTAAAGATGATTCCACTCACCGGTGGCACATGGAATGCGTGCATGCTTATGGATGACACAAAATCCAGTAGATCTGAAAGACTAATAGCTCTTGTTTTGAGAGAACTTAGCAGGTATTTCATCCAAATAGCAGCCTTGAGTGAAACAAGGCTGGCAAATGAAGGCCAGCTTACCAAAGATGGAGCTGGATACATGTTTTTTTGGAGTGGCTACAGTGATAAGAAGTACCTCGAAGCTGG